GGGTCCTGGCCTGGGAAGCAGGAGAGCTGACCTGAAGAAGAGGCGGGAACCCCTCCCGCTGCCACGGTGTTGATGTCCAGCTGCGGGGCCTGAAGGGTGACGCCAGCTGTGGTGGCCTCAAAGACATGCTCGAACTCCCCAGCGTAGCGGCTCACATCCGTGGACGTGCCTGGCAGGGGTGGGGTGCTGGTGGGTCGCTTAAAGACCCAGGGGCCCAGCAGCGGGGCCTCCCCGAGACCCCAGCCCTCAGCCCTCATACCTCCCATGTCAAAGCCGATGACAGGCTGGCCACCCTCCTGCTGGTACGTGGTTGCTGAGTAGCCCACCACACCGCCGGCCGGGCCGAGAGCACAGCACGGGAGCCGCCGAAGGCGTCCATGGGCGCCAGGCCGCCATCAGAGCGCATGAACAACACCTGCACGTCCTGTGAGCGGGCAGCAGGTGCGCCACAAGGGGCTGTGAGCGGGCAGCAGGTGCGCCACAAGGGGCTGTGAGCGGGCAGCAGGTGCGCCACAAGGGGCTGTGTGCGAGCAGCAGGTGGGCCATGAGGTGAGCGGGCAGCAGGTGCGCCACAAGGGGCTATGAGCGGGCAGCAGGTGTGCCACGAGGGGCTGTGAGCCGGCAGCAGGTGGGCCATGATGGGCTGGGCAGGCCGAGGCCCAGGCCCAGGCCCAGGCGTGGGTGGTGGAGGGGCCTCATGGCCTCACCTTAAGTTGGCCCTGGAAGCCACGGCGGAAGCCCTGGACGTAGCGTTGGATGGCGGGTGTGAGGTAGGCATCGGCACAGGCCGTGTGCCCCCGAGGGACGATGCGCACCATGGGCATGGCCTCCGAGGACAGTGACACGTGCGAGAAGCCCAGCTCCCGGGCCAGCGCACCCACCTGCTGCTCGTGCTGGGCCCACCTATGACAAAAACCCAGTGGCACCTCGTCTCCCACCAGGCCCAGCACCTGCTCCCGCGGCCCACAGCCCACCTCACTCACGTGTACGAATGCATGAGCACCACGGCCAGGCTGCGGATGCCTCGAGACAGCAGCCCCTCCAGCTTTCCACGCAGGGTCCCCAGGTCCACAGGCTGCTGCACGTCCAGCAGGTCCCCCGTGCGGCCTGCCAGAAAAGCCCAGGAGGCCCCGTCACAGGCCAGCAGGACCCTCCGGCCCCAGCTCCCACACCAGCGACAGCACACACACCCTTGACAGGCGTCCCGGTGCCTGCCTCTCCACGGTGCAGCACCACGCGTTCGTCCACCTCCAGCACCTCTTCATACAGCACCTCGGGCATGGGCACAGTCTGGGGGCAGGCAGAGGCTCAGAAAAGGCCCAGGCCCAGGGGTGCATGCCAGGGTACCGCGTGGGTGTGTGGTACAGGCGAGTGGTTATGTCCCAACAGGCAGGTTGGCAGGCTCAGGAGAGTCATACCTGGCAGCCCCAGCAAGGCTCACCCAGGGGGCAGCTCTCCACCCCCTAGGCAGCTGAGTGCAGCCAACTGTTCCACCCCCACGGAGGCAGCTTCTTCCGGAAATGCAGCAGTAGGTGCAGAGTTTCCACCCTCCCCTGCCTGAACAGGGCTAGCTTGGGTGGCCCCATGCCAGCGTCCAGGGCGGGCATGGTGGCAGGCAGGAACAGGGCATCCTGTGCCCACTCCAAGGGCTAGGGGAACTTGGGGTCCCACTGAGAATTCCTGGAGCTTCCTCTTTCTTTGTCAGCTGGTGCCCATGAGCCATCACTAATCCAACAACTGCTCTCCCCACAGGGTCAAGGCATCCCTGGGGGTGGATGCCACACACCCTGGTCCCCAGCCAGCAAGGAGCTCACCAGGTCAAAGAGGTCCCCGCGGGCTTGGGTGCCAATGTGCAGCAGGTCTCGGAAGCCACGTGTCACCAGCAGCGCCACCCGTTCCCCCTTCCGCTCCAGCAGTGCATTGGTGGCCACTGTGGTGCCCATGCGGATACTGGCGATATGACTGGAGTCCAGCGGCCGGTCCCGGGGCAGGAGCATGCCGGCCTCCTGGGGACCACGTGGTCAGTGTGGTGTTTCTGGCCGTGGGGTCCCTGTCCACCCGCTCCGGCCTGGCCCACCTGCTCCAGAATGCGGCGGATCCCTTCAGTTGGTGCATCTGCATAGTTGGCAGGGTCTTCTGAGAGCAGTTTTAAGACCCGCACCTGACCCCCTGGGCACTGGGCAAAGACGTCTGTGAAGGTACCCCCACGGTCGATGGCAAAGTGGAAGCGGCCCTCAGGGCTGCCCATGGTGGTGGGGCTGGGATCCCACAGGAGCTCTTCAGCTGGTAGCCCTGGAAAAACTAGACAGAGGCGGTCAGTCCGGGCTCACCTGCGAGTGGGACTAGAGGTTCCCCAGCCCTGCCCTGCGCGTGCGGGGGGTTCCTGAGGGAGAGACCCACGGGCACGACTCTGGGCAGAGCCAGAGCAGCAGGCCCAGCTCCGAGGGCAGCCTGGGCCCCAGCGAGACCCTGGCCGGGGGTCAAGGGCCTGATGCCCCCATGCCCCGCATCGCGCTTCTCTGGGCCCTGGATTGGGCTGAAACCCAGGCAGTGGAGCAGGCACGGGAGGTGGGGGCGACGCTGGACCCTGGAGCCCTCGGAGGGGGGTCCCTCAGCACGAAAGAGGCACGGGAGTGCGGGGAGGGCGTTTGGGGCGAGCTGGCCGGGGGACCCCACTTCCCTCTTTGCTCGACCTTCGGCCCAAGCCAGGTGGGCCCGGGGACTGGACGGAGCCTGAGCACCGACAGGGCGGCCCGAGGCGGGGACGCGTGAGTAGCGGCCCGGGAGGCAGCGGGGAAGGGGCTGAGGAGGGGAGGCCGCCCTGCGCAGGTCCCACCTGGGCGCTCGGCTCCGGCTCGGTGGCTCGCGGTCGGCTCTGGCTGCGCTCCCAGCGGCCCTGCCCGCACCAGCCTCGCCTCGGGGAGGAGCCTGCGGGACCCGCCCCCCGCGCCACTGGTCCCGGCACTCGCGGTTGCGTCAGGCCCGGTCCGCCCCCCGCGCCTCTGTCCTCGCCCTGCGCCTTCCCAGGCCGCCCGCGCCGGCTCAAGGGCACCTTGGCTCTGCGGCCCTCGGGGCTCCAGCGCCGGGCCTGGGCTCGCCGAGCGTGGGCGCCCCGGGATCCCACCTCCAGGTGTCCCGGGCAAGGGGAGCTGGCAGCCCGGGCCACAGCAGGGCTTCCCACTGGCGGACGTCGTTCCCCGTGTGAGGGGCATTGAAGCACAGACAGGAAAGGGAAGGAGGCCCTGCGGCTTTCTCTACCAGCCCCGCTCCCGGCCCGCGGGCCCCTCCTGTGCGGTATCTCTGGCCCTCTTCACCGGGTCTCCCTCCCCTCCAGCCCTCCTTGTGTCAGAGGCGTGTGAACCAGAGCAACTCCATCTTGAATAGGAGCTGGATAAAATGAGGGGGAAACCTACTGGGCTGCATTCCCAGACGATTAATGCATTCTGAGTCACAGGATGAGATAGGAGGTCAGCACAAGATACAGGTCATAAAAACCTGTATCTCCCAGCCTGGCCAACATGGTTGAAACCCCGTCTCTACTAAAAATACAAAAATTAGTCGGGCATATGGCATGTGCCTGTAATCTCAGCTACTGGGAGGCTGAGGCAGGAGAATCGCTGGAACCTGGGAGGCAGAGGCTGCAATGAGCACAGATCGTGCAACTGCACTCCAGCCTGGGCAACAGAGCGAGGGGCGAGACTCCGTCTCAAAAACAAAAAACAACAACAAAAAAAAAACCTGTATCTGATAAAACAGGTTGCAGTAAAGAAGCTGGCCAAACCCACCAAAACCATCATCCTACACTCCCCCCAGCGCCATGACAGTTTACAAGGGCCACAGCAACGGCAGGAAGTTACCCTATATGGTCTAGAAAGGGGAGGCACTAATAATCCACCCCTCGTTTAGCATATCATCAAGAAATAACCATAAAAATGGGCAACTGGCCCGAGACGGTGGCTCGTGCCTGTAATCCCAGCACTTTGGGAGGCTGAAGTGTGCAGATCACAGGGTCAGTAGTTCAACACCATCCTGGCCAACATGGTGAAACCCGTCTCTACTAAAAATACAAAAATTAGCCGGGTGTGGTGGCACACGCCTGTAATCCCAGCTACTCAAGAGGCTAAGGCAGGAGAATCGCTTGAACCTGGGAGGTGGAGCTTGCAGTACTCCACCGTACTCCAGCCTGGCAACAGAGCGAGACTCCGTCTCAAAGAAAAGAGGGCAACCAGCAGCCCTCGGGGCTGCTGTCCATGGAGTAGCCATTCTTTATTCCTCTACTTTCTTAATAAACGTGCTTTCACTGTAGGCACTCGCCCTGAATTCTTTCTTTCAAGAAATGCAAGAACCCTCTTTGGGGTCTGGATTGGGACCCCTTTCCTCTCACATTTGTGCCAAGGGCCGTGGACTCCAGCTCCCCATAGACAGGGATGGGGCCCAGGATCAGGCACTCAGGACCCCCTCCCCGTGGATGGGCTGCTGCTCATGTCCAGATGACTGCCCTCTGAGTGGCGGGTGCCCGCTGTGATGTCACCCCCAGACCCCATGCCCACAGATCTCCTAGTGCCTTCCCCATCCTGAGGCCCAGCTGAGGCCCCAGATGATCATGCCATGCCCACGTGCAGGAGCCCTACCTGCCTGCTCTGAGCAGTCCCTGGGAAGCAGCTCTGGTCAGCAACCCCACTTCAGCCCAGGACCCTCCCCACCAGCCACACAGCCTCACCCCAGCCAGCCCATACTCCTGTGGGACTGCCCTGCCTTCTGGTTTCCACCTGTCCCCAGCACAGCCTCTCAGCCCAGGATCTATCAGGAGAGATTCCCACACCCCACCCACCCACGCCCCCACCATCTGCCACCCTGTATGCACGCAGGTTGCCCGCCAGGCCTATGCTGCAGACCCCAGACTCTCTCACTGCCCACCACCATCCCCAGCCACCCCCTCGCCCCTCTGTTCACTCTAGGGGCCTGTGCTATCCACTCACAGATGCACCCTCTAAGGGCCTGTCCCCATGCTCCCCAGGGGCACCCCACTGCTGTGCACCTCCAGGTGTCCACCTCCCACCTCTGCCTGCATCTGGGGCTCTCCTGACCCCACTCCACTGCACATCTCAGGGGCAGACCAATGAAGGCCAACTCCCACCCACCCTAGGCTCAGGCCTCCCCTGGCTGCCCCACCTGCCTGCCCCCACCCCCACCCCCACCTGCCTCCTGCCCCACTGGGCCTTTATCTCTGTTCCTCGATGTTGGTGGGTCCCAGCTTCCCCTTGGCAATGCCATGCAGCCCCTCCACGGCGACCAGAGGCAGCTCCAGGCCTGCAGGATGGCCTGGCCCCTAGTCTCTAGTGGCGCCTCTGACTGCATGGCCAGACACGTCCCAAAACCAGGCCCCAGGCCACCTACCACTGGCCCACTCCAGCAGCAGCTCCTGCACCCGGCCCCATTCTCATCCCCACACCCAATCTGCCAGACGTCCTGTTACGTCCACCTTCAGAACACAGAGCCGCTACTTCTCACACCTGCACCCCGGGCCAGGCTTCCATCATGTTCCCCCAGGGCTGTGGCTGTCCCCACCACCGAAGAACAGAGGGCTGGGAGAAGAGTCTGCCACTGCGGCGGCTCTGACAGCTTCAGGCACAGCCAACTTGCACCCACCTCAGGGCCTGGCACAGGCTGTTCCCCGGGCCTGGAAAGCCACGCCCTAGCCTTGCAGCTCCCTTGCCCGCTCAGGCTCTGCTCAGAGGTCACTTTCCCAGACCTGGCACCTTCTCCCTGCTGCATGTCCTGAAAGAGCCCCAGGGCCCTGGCTTTGCTCTAGATGCCCCGCAGCACCCAGCAGGTTTGCCCAGCTCCACAGAGTCTTGGGGCCCCGGTACAGCCCACCTCTCTCAGCATTCTTGAATTTGATTGTTCTCCGCCTGAGCGGCCGGGGACTGGCAGCCACCTCAGCCAGGAACCCGGAGCTGCAGAAGCCCAGGCTGCTGCTACGGTTCCTGAGCACCAGCTTCAGCTCCTGGTTCTCCTGGATGAGCTGCACCAGCCGCCGCAGCTCTTCGTTCTCCTGTGCCAGCCGCTGGATCTCCTGCCGCAGGCCCTCATAGCTGCTGAGGAGGGACATGCCTGGCAGCCAGGGGCGGCAGCTGGCGGGGGCCAGCGGGCCAGCCGAGGACAATAGACCCTGCCATTGTGAGGTCAGCGGCTGCCCCTGCCCCCAGGCTTCAGCCACATTCCAGGCCTTCAGGGTCAGGACCCAGCAGTTCCGATCACCCCCGTGGCAGGGTTGGCCTGACCTCTGACCTCCGGTCCCCTACGGGCCAAATGACCAGTGGGTGCCCAGAACTGTCCCAAGTCTCTGGCTCCCTCCAGGAATCCTCCTCCTAGAAGATGGACGCTTCTTTGGGCCAGCCAAGCCCAAGTGTGTTGTGGGAGAAGGGATATGGGATTCAAGCCTCTGCACTCACCCATCTGACTGCCCACTGGCCACCAGTCACAGCCTGCAGGCCTGGCCATGCCAGGACATGGGTCAAGGCAACTGGGTATGGTATCTGGGCAGTCACGGTTGGCACAGCATCTGAAGGGATCGAGAAAGGTGGGTGTGTGGCTGCCCTGCAGGATGGGGCCCAGCAACAGCAGGAGCTGGACAGCAGCAACCAGGGCAGGTCAGGGCTACAGGGGCAGAGCCAGCTGAGAACACACTAGAAGAGCATAGGAGGGGGCTGAAGGCAAAGGGATGCACCAGGCAGTGCTAGAGCTGCCACAAGGGATGCTGGGCCTGTTTCTGGGGGGAGAGGGCCCTGGTATTGTCACATGGAGGTCGCAGCAAGCAGGCAGGTGCCCTGGAGGAGGCACCACATCTGGGCCATAACCTCAAGGAAGGGGATGGGGCAGGTAGCCCACCAGAGGCTGAGGACCAGGACCTAAAGACAGACCTCCCCAGGGACAGGGGAGCCACCCTCAATGGTGACAGTAGGCTTGCATTTTAGATCATATGAAGGACTTTCTTCTTCTATCCAATCTGTCTTTAAAGGGACACCTCTGCACGGTTACTTTGGTTTTCTGGCTTTTTCTTACGTTATGATTATTACGTAGTTTACATCATTTTTCTCTTTTGCTTGTTTGATGGGTCTAGTTTCCACTTGCTGATTTGTAGACTCTCCTGGGATTCTCATGCTCCCTTCCCTGTGGCTCCTTGAGTGAAGCCATCGCAGGGCCCCTCACCTTTGCGAGTGGGGGCAGCACCCCTGAGACTACTACTCCAGGAGACTGGGGGCAACTGTACTGAATCCCAACAGAAATCATGACAATTTAAGTAATTATTGGCCAGGCGTGTTGGCTCACACCTGTAATCCCGGCACTTAGGGAAGCTGAGGCGGGCAGATCACCTGAGGTCAGGAGTTCGAGACCAACCTGGCCAACATGGTGAAACCCCGTCTCTACTTAAAAAATACAAAAATTAGCCAGGTGTGATGGCGGCACCTGTAATCCCAGCTACTTGGGAGGCTGAGGCAGGAGAATCGCTTGAACCCGGGAGGCAGAGGTTGCAGTAAGCTGAGATCACGCCACTGCACTCCAGCCTGTGCAACAGAACGAGACTCTGTCTCAAATAAAATAAAATAAAATAATTCCTATAATTAAGAAAAAAAATGGAGTAGAGTATTTTTCTTTTTTTATTTTATTTACTTTTTTTTTTTTTTTTTTTTTGAGATAGGGTCTCACTCTGTCACTCAGGCTGGAGTGCAGTGGTGCAACCATAGCTCATTGAAGCCTTGACCTCCCAGGGTCAAGTCATCCTCCCACCTCAGCCTCCTAAGTAGCTGGAACCACAGATGCATGCACCACCATGCCTGGCTAGGTTTATTTGTTTGTTTGTTTGGTAGAAACAGGGTCTCACTATGTTTGTTTGTTTGTTTGTTTGTTTGTTTTGACACGGACTCTTGCTCTGTCTCCCGGACTGGAGGGCAGTGGCGCGATCTCAGCTCACACAAGCTCCGCCTCCCGGGTTCACGCCATTCTCCTGCCTCAGCCTCCGGAGTAGCTGGGACTACAGGCACCCGCCATCAAACCCAGCTAGTATTTTTTTTTGTATTTTTAGTAGAGACAGGATTTCACCGTGTTAGCCAGGATGGTCTCAATCTCCTGACTTCGTGATCCCTCCACCTCGGCCTCCCAAAGTGCTGAGATTACAGGCATGAGCCACTGTGCCCAGCCCGGGGTCTCACTATGTTGCCCAGGC